CGCCAATGCTCGGCGCCTCGATCCATACAGTAACACATACAATGAGGGATGGCGCCAGCATCCCAACTTCGCCTGGAGCAACAACATCAATAAACCACCTGGTTTCCCAGCACCAGCAGGTGGTTTTCAGCAGAGGCAGCCTTTCCAGGCTAGACAGGGACAACCATTCCAGCAGCCCCAGCGTCAGTATGCCGAGCCAGCAGCAGCGTCAGCTCCCGATAATCAGATGACCGAGCTGAAGAACGTTTTGGCGGCATTCATGACCACCAGCCAGGCGAATATCACGAGGATGGATCAGGCCATAGCTTCGCTGGAGGCAGGGCAGAGAAACCAGGGTGCCATTCTGCAAGATTTGCAGAACCAGGTTGGCGCCATAGCTCGCCAGATTACTACTCGGGCCCCGGGGACTCTACCTGCCACCACCATCCCCAATCCACGGGACCCGCATGAGACAGCACATGCCATTTTCACCCTGAGCGGCAGGCCTACATCAGCTGATCCTGCCCCGACCAGGCAGGAGGAACTACTACCTGCTTCAGCACTTCCAGCCGGTGATGCAGAAGTGCGGGTGGAGAAGGAAGCCCCGGCTCCCAAGCCACAACCAGTGGTGAAGGAGCACGTACCCCAGCTTCCCTTCCCCACTCGCCTTCACAAAGACAAGTTGGAGACTGAGTTTTCCAATTTTATGGCAATGTTGAAGCAGCTCAACATCAGCATACCATTTGTGGAGGCACTGTCGAAGATGCCCAAGTACGCTAAGTTCATGAAAGATCTCTGCACCAACAAGAAGAAACTCTGGGATCTCTCGACAGTGCTGCTGAGCGAGGAATGTTCTGCCATCCTGCAGAACAAGCTGCCCGAAAAGCGCAAGGATCCAGGGAGTTTTACTATCCCTCTTACTATTGGCAGCATGCATGTAGGAAAGTCCTTGGCGGACCTAGGAGCTAGCATTAATGTCATGCCATATAAATTGTTCAAAAAGCTAGACCTAGGTGAACTTAGCCCTACTAGGATGAGCATTCAGCTAGCTGATCGTTCCGTGGTGCATCCTAGGGGTATCATAGAAGATTTGCTTGTTAATGTTGGTGCATTCACATATCCTGTTGATTTTGTTATCCTGGACATAAATGATGATGTGGATGTACCCTTGATTCTGGGTAGACCATTTCTTGCCACCGCCAAGGCACTGATTGATGTGCATGATGGTAAACTGATTCTGCGTGCTGGAAATGAACAGGCTATTTTTCCTGTGACTGACTTTGATCATTGTGCTATGATTTCTGTATCGCCTGTGCATGCTATTTCTGATCAGGTACACGAGCCTGTCGTGTATCCTTATGCACCTCTCATTTTGCAGGACCCGCCTATCATTCCTTCGCCGCCACTCCATCCAGTCTCGCCTCCGAACAAAAAGCTCAAGGAGGAGTGGCGGCCGAAGCCGCAGGTGGCTAAGCCTGCACGGAAGAAGAGTGGAGACCACTATGAGCTGGTCCCACCCCCTGCACCATGACCACCCTGGCCATCCGAGTACTCACTCGCCTGCATCTTGCCGGATGGCCAGGTCGAGCTGACTTCTGCTGGTGGTTGCAACCGTCGGGTGCACGGTCATCACCTGAAGCTGTACCTCAAGAGCGACGTGGATCCGCTCTTGGAGGCACCTGTTCTTGCACCTCCCTGAGTATCCACCATGGGCGTCCAGCTAAAAGACGGTAAAGAAGCGCTTGTGGGGAGGCAACCCCACCACGGTTTGACTTTCTTTCTTATGTTTCGAGTCGGATTGCGATTTGGTTTTGTTTTGGTTTGTTTCATTTGTTCTGGATGATGTCTTATTGGGCTGACATCGGACCTAACATATTCTGGTTGAGCTCTTCTGTTCCCCTTGAGCTGTGCTGTGTTCCCGACTGGTCCATTTCCAGTCCTCTGCAGTCCGTGCATACCGGTAACATCGTTCCCCTTTCCTTCCCTCTTCTCCATTGAGGGCAATGTCGATCTTAAGTGTGGGGGGGGGGATGTTTATCTTTTGACTGCATTAGATCTGTTTGTGTGTGCTTGGAGCCTAGTCCACGTCCAAATCTTACGATTTGAGGGCTCCAAGTACTGCTGTTTGATCATATTAGCACTGTGTTTTGATGGATGAATTGATTGGTTTTCGGATTAATGCATGACAACTTGTTTGCGACTAGGACAACCTATGATGAGGACTGAGATGTGCAGTAAAACGACGTAGGGGTTCAGTTTGTCAACTGTTTGCTTGCCAACTGTGACTTGATCTGACTTGATCTGATTACTTGTCCTTGACAGTCGTTTATGCATCTAGTTCAGGGTATCAGAATGTGAGATAGAGCATATAGGTAGCCATGTGAGATTTGAGCCTGCTCGTTTCTTTCTTGTGCGATAGATCCCTCTTCCATGATGTGTAGCATTCACGTTGTCACTAGCTAAGATGATGGGGGCATAGGATTAGCCCACGCCCAAAAAACTGACTGTCCTGATGTGTCATATCCCCTAGTCAGCCCCTTTGAGCCGTGTGTTATCCTTTCTTTTGGTTTATAATGAAAAAATCACCCTTGTTGCATCTTTTAGAAGGTTCCACAGAGTGGTTTTTACATATTCTCTGCTGTTTCTGCTAAAGTCTATGTGAGTGTTGGAGGTAGTGCTTAAAAGTTGGGCAGGTGTTTGAAATTTATGCAGAAGTGGTGGCTCTCTTAAGAAATGAAAAGAAAAATGAAAGAAAAACAAAGCAAAAATTTGAAAGCAAAAGAGAGCCACTACCAAAAATCTGAATAATGCCCAGTAAGCAGTGTTTCTTAGCAGTCTGGCTTGGAAATGCTGATGTTTATGCCCCCTTCGCTCTTGTGCTCTTAAGATATTGAGTGATGCAGAATAGCAGAAAGAAAATACCGGGTTGTTTGACTGTGATTGTGTGTTTGGAAAATGTGGAACCTTTTGCTATGAATACTTCCACCACCTAAAAGGCCTTTTCCCCATGTCCAAGACCCTAGCCAGTCATTTGAACCTGTGTCTAAGACCTCCTGATTAGTTAGTGGTGACACCCCATATGTGAACTCTAGCATTTAGAGGCTGCCATCATGGTGAAGAGATGATAGGGATTGAGAGAAATAGCATGCGCATCTTTCGCATCAGATTGTCCTGACCCCACTGGTCGAGAGTGAGTGATTCATTTTCATTTTCTATATGCTCTTGTACCCCGGTGAGGACCTAGATTGCTCGGTCTCTATTCTGATGTTTTGAGTTGGATGCATGAGTTGACTGTTTTGAGTAAGTGGTTGAATCAAGTCTAGGTTGGCTAGTGAACAGACGGGAGACTCTTCTTTTACTTGATTTGCTGCACTCGAATGTCCTTTGTGGTGGTTGTCCAGGTTGTTATTGAGGTTGTGCATGTATTGATGTTTGAAACCCAGTGCGATTCGCGTGAGCTGTGCCTTTATGACTTGTCCCCAATGTTGGTTGATTGAAATATGTAAGCTTACCTAGTGTCTGACTTGGTTTGCTTGGGGACAAGCAAACGGTTAAGTGTGGGGGAGTTTGATAGACCGATAATCATACATGTTTTCACCCCTATTCTGAAGCCGTTTGTGATGAGGAATCTCGTATTTTAAGCCGATTTCACGCTAGGTTGTGTGTTTTTGTCATATTTCAGGTCCTGGCGTTGGAATCGAGGCGGAGAAACGAGTTCTGGGTCGAAAGGAGCAAAGTTGGGACGGATAGGGCTAAAGGAGCAAAATACCCGGTCAGGTGGCCAAATACCCGACCGGGTATTCACCACTTTTGGGCGCCCGAGAAGCAGAGAGGGGCCCGGGCACAGCAGCAAAATCCCCGGTCGGGGATTATGGCGATTGACCGGGGATTCTTCCCTTAAGCGAAACGGTGCGCTGCAGAGATACCCGGTCGAAGCCCAAAATACCCGACCGGGTATTTCGACCGGGTATCGCGACCAGGCAGCTGATTTAAGGAGGAAGAAGGCCAACATTGAAGGGTTCCGAGTTTTTGAGAGAGAAATCGATTCCTAGAGAGAGAAAGCGACGAACCAGAGTCCCCAAGCGCCATAGATCGATCTTCAACACCATTGGAGCCCGTCTTGAGCTTGGAGAAGTGCGATTAAACGTCCAGGAGCAGGAATCCAACTTCACAGTATGATTTCCGCGTCTGAATCTGCTTTTGCTTCTTTCTCTATGGAGTAGTTTCCCCATTCATCTGGGTATGGAGAACCCTAGATTTGTATGCTAGGTCTGATTGTATGAACCCAAGTACAGAGTTTGTGAATTGATTATATTCGATTGAGGTTTGAATGATTGAATGACTTGAATCCTGATCAAATTCCTGTTGTTTCTGCTTTGACCTAGAATGAGAATATCTGCCTAGGTTGATAGAGTACCCTTAATCGAAGGTGGCGAACTGGTGACTTTAGTCGAGGAGCCAATTCGCTATTCTGTACCGAAGTTAATTCGGTAGTGGAGGTTTGGTTCATTAGGGCCTCAATCTGTTTACTCCGGTGGAGGTTAGTCGCCCGCTAGAGACTCAGATTGAGAGGGTCTGGAGACCTTTAGTCGAGACTTCAGGCTAATTGAGAACCTTCCGCAGTATAACTTTCATGAAAACTGAACTTGGTAATTACAATCCGACTTAACTGCAGTCTAGGGGGAACCATATCCGGGTGACCTCTCTTGACTTGACAACAAACCGTTTACTTGCTTTGTGTTTTGTTGCTTGAGTTTCACTAAAACTTCACTGCTAAATAACAAGAATTCACCGAGTAGTCATCACATCTAGGACCCGGGTTGATAATAAAACCCAAACCCGCTATACTACGCTTTAGGAAGTGGTTACACTTGGCCATTTTCTAGAGTGACAGTAGGAGTGAGTCAGTAACGCCGACCTGCTTTGCTGTGATGTGTTGGATGCTATGGAAGAACAGGAACAAGTTTGTTTTTGAGAAGGAGTTAGACTCGACAAGCTCCTTACCTTGTAGAGTGGTGACGTTGGAGAAGCATATTGAAGAGGCGGCCATAAAATCAGCGCTTGTTTTTGCCGGTGGGGCTGCCCCGTCTCAGCGGCTGATCGCTTGGAAGGCCCCTCCGCCGGGCTGGTCATGCTTTAACACGGATGGGTCGGTGGTGGGTGGCAATGCAGCAGCGGGCGGGGTTATTCGGAGGGAAGATGGTCGTATGTTGAGAGCGTTCTCCGGCAACTTGGGGGAAGGATCAATTACTAGAGCGGAATTGGCGGGAATTGCTTTCGGACTGAAAGCAGCGTGGGAGATTGGACTTCGACAGGTGCAGGTACAGACTGATTCCCATATAGCTATTCAACTCATTGGGGGAGCAGGGGAACGACACCCCCACTTGGCATTGGTCTCCGAAGTGCGAAGACTCTTAGCTCTTGATTGGCAGGTGGAAGTAGTTCATGTGTTCTGGGAGGGTAACGTTGTAGCTGACTATTTAGCGTCTCTTGGACATGGACGTCCTCCGGGGGTTCATTTCGTTGATACCCATTGTCCGATTCTAAACTACAGGCTACTTTTTGATTGTATGGGAGTTTCCACTCCTCGTCTTGTTCGTAATGAATAACGGTTGGGGTGCCCATTAGCACCTGTTTCCTACCCAAAAAAAAATTATGTTCTCATCGCCAACACAATTTTGAGTAAATAGTTGTGGTGAGACTTTGATACGTGATTCACACAAGAGTACCTCTATCAAACTATCCAATCAATTTAAGGTGAAGTAAAAGTAACCACATAACCTGCAGGCATTCATCTAACTTATGAAGAATAATGGGCAATAACAATTTTGTGCTAAGTTACGGAGAAGGTGGTGCTCATTTGGGTTTGAACAAAGGTTAGAGCTCGTGACACATGGGCACGTCGCAATTGGAGACGTCGAGCAGCAGTTGAGGCGGGACAAGGGAGGAGGAGAGGTTATTTGAAGAGCTTGCTTAGAGCTTGTTGATTTCTCTTATACATCAGTTTCATATATGTTGTTGTGTTAAATTCCAGGCAAAATACAGTTGTATATCCACCACTATCAGATTTGTGACAAATATATCCACAACTATCAAAATATACGAAATATCCAAAAATCGGAAGGTTGTGTGACAAATCTATCCACCTCCGTCTGAAACTATAACGGCGTGTCAGATGGCGTTAAATTGACTAATGAAATGCTAAATCAATGCCATCTCACCTGCCACATAAGTCAAAAAGCAACCAAACTTTACACGTAGATGCCAAATAGTCTAGTTGAATAAAGGCAAAATACAGCTGTATATCCACAACTATCAGGTTTGTGAAAAATATAACCACAACTATCGAAATACACGAAATATCCATTTCCGTCCACTCCGTTAACTCCGTCAGTTAACTTGATGACTGGACAGACAGTGGATGCTTAGTTGGCATGTTTCTGACCCCACTGAATGACGTGGATTAAAAGAGAAAAAAATTAAAAACCGAAAAAACCACAGATAGCGAGACTAAAAGTCCAACCCAGAAACACGCCCGATAACCATTGATCCTCCTCCGATCGACACCTCCACCCCCAAATAACCATACCCCAAGCCCAAATTTCGATTCCAACCACAATCCCCAACCATTGCCTCCCTTTTACTCCGACGGCTTCCATGCAGTCGGCGCCATGGTGATACCAAGCTTGAATCTCAAATAAAAAAAACTTGAATCTAACCAAATCGCCAACAGAGAAGACTCCAGCAACGAGGTCTAACAGATAACAGTGTAAAGTTTGGTTGCTTTTTGGCTTATGTGGTAGGTGAGATGACACCGATTCAGCATTCCGTTAGCCAATTTAACGTCGTCTGACACGTCGTTATAGTTTCAGACGAAAGTGGATAGATTTGTCACACAACCTTCTGATTTTTGGATATTTCGTGTATTTCGAAAGTTGTGGATATATTTGTCACAAACCAAATAGTTGTGGATATACAACTGTATTTTGCCTAAATTTTTTTCTCTTTAAATCCACGTCATTTAGCATACCAACTAAGCATCCACCGTCTGTCCAGTCATCAAGTCAACTGACGGAGTTAACGGAGTGGACGGAAATGGATATTTTGTGTATTTCGATAGTTGTGGATATATTTGTCACAAACCTGATAGTTGTGGATATACAACTGTATTTTGCCTAAATTCAATAGCACACATAACGATATGTCTCATACATTTAAGTGGTGAAAATTTGCTCACCATTGCATGTGGGTTCTTTGTTTGTTTGTTTGTTTGTTTTTTTCTTCTCTTCCCAACCATTTGTGTGGTATTAAAATGTAAGTGAGACCCAGAAGTGAAATTGCATTGGAATGACATTGATGTAGCTAGTATGAAATTGATGAGTGAAGTAATTGCTAGAGTTGCTTAGATGGCAGTAGGTACCACACTTGAAAGTGAAGAAGGATTGCATTGTTGGAGATGCTCTAAATTCTAATGGACTGAACTTGGCAGGCACCCCAGTCCATCAACCAGCCATAAGCCCATAACCAATAAGGAAAAAGAAATTACAAGAAGAAACAAAACAATCAACTTATTTGAATGCATTTGAACCACGTGGTACGACATATGTGCAAATAATCATCCAATAAGCATAGACCATAACCATTAATGATGTTGGTTCATGCCAGACTATCTTAATAGAAATTAGCAACATATCCAACCAGTTTAAGGTGAAGTAAGAGTAACCACATAACCTGCAAACATTCATCTAACTTATGAAGAATTACTGGACAATAACAATTTTATGCTAAGTTACAGGGAAAATTAATGAAGAAATCGCGAACTATGTCTTTTTCTTCACATACAACCAGGAGGTTACTTTCGGGCTTTCCGTAGTCTGAGACAAGGTGATCCTTGTCGCCAGCTGAGTTTCAACTTCACAAGCTAACTAAAGTTAGTATGACAGGACGAGCACGAGATTGTCATGTTTTTTCAAAAGTCACTGCCTGCCTTTGGGGATAGTTAATCTGCTAACTTGAAGATTTGTTAGCAGATACTAACTGATATCCAAAATACATGAACAAATATCCAAGTACTAAAGTATCTAGAGAGCATAGACTAGTATTCAAAGTTTGCTAACTAATCTCCACCATGAATCAACTATTATCCCAAATCCACAAACTAATATCTAGTCAACACAGAATAGTATCCAAACAAAACATAATTAGTATCCAGATAACACATAAGAGTATCCATATTGAATACTAGTTGGTTGATTGTGGATATTAGTTGATATATGCTATCTGGATACTAGTTTGTGATATTTTGAATACTAGCCTGTGCTATCTAGATATTTAGCAGATTTGGATATTAGTTCATACATTTTGGATATTAGTTAGTATATACTAACGAATCTTCAAGTTAGCAGAATAACTAGGCTGGCTTTGAGACATAAAAATACAGTAGGAATGACAATTTCTGTGAGTTGAACATATACATGATTTCTTTATGACCTACAGGACTAACATGCTCTATATGTTTCTTATTTTGTGTGTGGAACTAAGATAAATACACAAGTGAAATGTGTATTCTCTACTCATGAGTATGGAAGATAGGCATGTTTTCTCTTTTTAAAAGCTTGTCATATGTGGAAGTAGATATTCAAAGTTTCTGCTATGGTGTGCCTTGTTTGTCTATCTTTACCACGAATAAGATATTGGAAGAAACTAGGGCTTGTTTGGAGGATGTGATTTCAAGTGAATGATTTAATGAATACATGTAATGGTGAGATTGTGTAGTTTTTTTCGGTTTAATTTGATCCAGAATACATGTAATACCTTTTTGTGGCCCCACCCACAATCATTCAAATTGTGTGATTTCTAATCTCAACCAAAAGTTGAGATTATAATAAGGGATTGTCTGTCCATTTTATTGTTCCATCTTTATCCCGGGTAATTTTGATTTATCCCATTGCTACCCTCATCAGCAACACAACTCGCCATTCTTTCGTGCAATTTCCAGAAAAAGAAGCAAATTATCATAGCTCCTCCCCTGCTCCTCCATTCGACAATATCTAGCCCTAAAATTCTCCCTCTAGCTCCAATAAAAATCCATTATCATCGCTAGCACGACGGAGCCGGACCTAATTTTACACATCCCGCCATTGGAAAATCCTTGGGAACCGAAGCAGAATGGCCTCAACATCTTATTCTACCGGCAATTGAAGAAACTCATTCGTTCGTTCATTGTTTGCGGAATGAAAAGGAATATCCATAGTTTAGTCGTGCCGAACCTTGCTCTACACATCTCGCCATTGGAAAATCCCCAGGAATCGAAGCAGAATTCTCTTCCTTCAAGCATGTATTCTCCATCTGTAAACCGGTTATGAACACTTGATACTTTTGCTTCTCCTGTTCAATTGCCACCTGTATATCGTGCCACACAAAAAAATCACAACCATTCTCCGGCTGTACAATAACGCTCTGTTTGGCAACAAGGGGGGTGCAAATTGCAGGGGGTGCAAGTTGAGGTGCAAATTGCTGGAGGGTGCAAATTGCTGGGGGGTGCAAGTAGAGGGGTAAATTGTTGTTTGGATGAAAAAGTAGGGGGGTGCAAAATGATGTAAAAAAGAGTTTTAGATTATTATATATAAAGAGTACATATAATAATATGAACAATTTAATTCATTAAATACGAATATCAAACGTGTTATACGGGTTTTATATGCGTTTAGTACGGGAGCCATCAAATGCACGAAAATAAACGAACGAGAGCCATCAAAGTAGGAGGGTGCAATTGGGAAATCAAAATATATTAATGATAATTTTATATTAGAAAAAATATTAAATTATTTTAATAACATTATTTATTTTCTTTTACACTTTCTCACCATCTATCTGATTTCATTTTCTTTCCTCATCTCTCCAAGTGGGCGTGGGCCCTTTCTCTCTCACCATGTGTGTGGGACAACATCAAGAAGGACTAATTAAAAAAATGAAAAAATAAAATATATCTCCCACAATGTTTTACGCCCCAATTTGGGGGGCTTACCCAAACAGTAGATTTACCCCAGCCATGCACCCGCCTGCCACTGTTGTAAAAGAACCAAATGGGGGTAAATATTTCGATTTCTGTGCTTACCCCTCAATTATGCACCCCCCACCATTTGCACTAGGTTCCCAAACAGAGTGTAAATGGCTCTATTAGTGAAGCAAGAACACACCTGAAATCCAGTAAAGTAGAACAAATATGGAACGCCGAACCTAATCAACAAAACAAATTACCTGCGTTGGACTCCATTTAGGGCAGCTGAGGAACTTTCTATTAGGATTACCAGGTGTATGCAATGTTTTGGTGATTGCAAGAGACCCACAATTACAAGTGATGGAAATCTCTTCCTCGTCGGCCCCGAGAATTCGTCGGTTTCGTTGCAAGGAGCTCATTTGCCCACAACTATTGTGATTGTGCTTGCACGCGATGTTGGCCGGGAGGCTGCCGATTCCGTCGCGAGGAGTCTCTTGCACTGATTGTTTCTCTTTTCACCAACTGCAATAAAAGGAAAACAAAAAAAATGGAGGAGCTTTTCGCAAGGAGTTTCTAGCACTAGTTCTTCTCTTTTCACCAACTGCAATAAAAGACAAACAAAAGGAAACAAAAGGAATGGAGGAGATCGAATAAAAGTGAAGGGTAATTATGTATTCTAACATTGAAAAGTGCTTTGTTTTGTTTTCCAACCAAAAGTACTATTTCTTCTTCCAAACAAAGTATTCTTCAAAATGATACATTGAGTCAATACATATATTTACAATACATGAATTGGTCAAATACATCAATTTAGAGAATCACAACCTCCAAACAACCCCTAAATAGTTTAACCCATTTGTGATTTCTAAAATGGTGTTCCCCTAGTATTTATGACTTTGTTGAAAGAGTTTGGAGAATCGTAATGAATAAATTTGAAAGAGGTCACCATAACAACCTATAGTAGCTGGTTCGCACAACACCATGGAGGGTATGTCCCACCATAGCCTTATCTTCTAGTGTGATCTATTACAAAAATGTGGCTGGTTTCCGGCCGAAATCACTCTAATACTACAAAGATGGTTTCACTTCTTTCTTTATCCTATTCTCAAAATTTTACGATTGTGCTTCATTTCCTCTTGATCCATGATGATTTCCTCAAGAGCCTAGTTAGTTGATTTGGATTTTTCGGAAAAAAGAAGGGGAACAATGACGCGAGACAGAGGAGGGACTCTTTTCAAAACGATAAGTGATGATTCAATAACTTGTTGCTAGTATATCATATTCTCCTTCTCTTATACTCTCTTTATTTTCATATCTAATGTTGAGGAGTAGACACACTTGTTCTTTTTTATTTTGTTTTTTCTTTGTGTCTAAACAATCTGTGTTAGTCACTCAAACATGATCTTCCCAATTGTTTTCATCTACAATGTAATATGTTCTTTCTTTTACCTACTTTATTGTTCTAGTCCATTGAGGGTAACGCCCCATTTAAAATGCGAGGTGAGGTTTACTTGTGTATTTGAATAATCAAAAGATGCATCATTCACCAAATAATCTATTTGAGTAATTAAAGATGCATCATCCCTTCAAGCTTATGAGTGCTCAACTTGTTTTAATTTATAGATCTCATGATTGCATTTATCCTAATGTTGGTGTATGAGGAAATGAATTAGCATTCGACATGTACTAGTTGATTTGTTTGATTAATATTTTTAAGACTTTTCGTTTGTGCAATGTCGAGACTCATAATATGGCACATTGTATTGCACATGAACGAATTGGCATAAGGCACTCACTAAGCGACGCGTGGTGGTCGTCCGATATCAAGAACCCCACTTGTATTTGATTTACCCCAAATCAAACTGTCATTTTTAAAATCAGTATAAAAGTACGAATACTACTTACAACATCCTTTATACATTGACCCTCCACATGAATTTGATCGGAGTTAAAAATAGTAAAGTCACAAAAAGCGACAATAAAAATTGTGCCCATTAAAGAAAATTATTTCCAAAGACACGGCCCCTACTGTGCACTTAGATTGTAATTACTATTCATTTAGACCTAAATTTACTGTACATTCTTCCCTGATTGGCCGCCTGCCTGTGCGTGGGCCCCGCTGGTTTTCTCACTGTGTTGTGGTTGGACCAGAGGTTTTTTTGCGAGATTATTTAGCTTGGACTGAATCTTATTCTCGCTGCTTTGCGAAGGAGAGCACGTTGCCCGCGGATCGGATCAGGTTAGATATCCTCCTCTCTCCGGCTGTCTTTTCTCGCAGGCCTTCTTCTCTCTCAGGGCTTCTTCTGATGGTGACTCGACCCTGCTGGAAAAAATGGGTGGAGGTCTCGTGATGTCAGGGATCAAGAGTAGGCCTTTTCCCGATCAGTTAGTCAAGAGGAGAGGGGGTCCAAAACCCGGTGCTGGCAGAAAGATAAGAAATCCCTCTTTCTTTTCACCTTCTCTCTCTTACTCACTCTGTTTTCTCTGCCCTATTTCGCTCAATAGCGTTATTCTGCTAACCCTTTAAGTGGTTAGTAGATACTAACACAGTGGGATATTAGGCCACGTCGCCGAGTCACGATCGGAAGGAGTGGGCTTACTGGAGCCGTCGTGTGAGGGGGAAGAGAGGGCCAGCTCGGTAGGCCCAAGCCGAGCCGTGTTTTGGGAGAAGTGGGCCCACAATTAAAAAAAACCCCTAAATTTTCAAACCCAATCCCTGTTCTCTCTCCCTCAACTGGCGTTTTTCATTCTCCTCACTCTCTCCAAAAAAAATCTTTTGTTTCTCTCCCTCTCCGTTTCTTATTCTCTTGAAAACCAACACCAAAAATTTCGAGCGACGGTTGCGACGGCGACGAAGGGTGCGAGGTTGGCGACGACTTGTTTGAGTCCACGCCGACGACGATGTTGAAGCTATCCCGACGAGGAAGAAGTTTTTGGAAGGTTTTCACCGTCCTTGAAGAAAGAAGACGACGACGTCGCCGACGAAGAAGGAAGACGCCACCGCCGGCAGTAGTGGGAGGTAGAAGACGTCTGCAAGGAGGACGCTTTGGTTCAGGTTGGCATCTTCTCCTCTCCTTATTGTTGATTTTGTTTATGGAGATCTGGGTTTCGTTTATCTATTTCAAAATTTAGGGTTCATGCGATTCGACTTAGGGGTTCAGGGTTTTGTTTCTAGATTTGTAGATTTAGGGTTGGATTACATATATTTGATTTAGGGTTTCGTGGATTTGACTAGATCTGAGTTTTTTTTTTTTTTGCTTCATTTTTTGGATCTGATATTCGTCATTAGGGATTTGGGATTCTTGTCGGGGGATTTGAGATTCACTTTCTGTGCCTTGGGATTCGATTTGGTGGATCTGGGATTTTCTATGGCTGGGATCTGGGATTCGATTTGGGAGATTTGGGATTCTTTATATTTGATTTAGGGTTTCATGGAGACTAGATCTGAGTGTTTTTTTTTTGCTTCGTTTTTTGGAACTGAGATTCGTTGTTGGGGATCTGGGATTCTTGTCGGGGGATTTGAGATTCGCTTTTTGTGCCTTGGGATTCGATTTGGGGGATCTGGGTTTCTTTTGTTTTGGGGGATTTGGGTTTCTTTCGATTTGGGGGATCTGGGATTTTCTGTGGCTGGGATCTGAGATTCGATTTGGGAGATTCGGGATTCTTGTTATTTGATTTAGGGTTTCATGGATTCAACTGGATCCGAGTTCTTTTTTTTTTTTTGCTTCATTTTTTGGATTTGAGATTCGTTGTTAGGGATCTGGGATTCTTGTCGGGGGATTTGAGATTCACTTTCTATGCCTTGGATTCGATTTGGGGGGTTCTGAGTTTTACTCGTTAATATGTTAGTTGGTTGACTTGAGATATTATTTAGCATGCTTGGGATACCAGTTCGTTGAATGTGGATATTGTTTGGGGGTTCTGAGTTTTGTTCGTTAATATAGTAGTTTGTTGACATGTGATATTATTTAGCATACTTGGGATACCAGTTCGTTGAATGTGGATATTGTTTGGGGGGTTCTGAGTTTTGTTCGTTAATATAGTAGTTTGTTGACATGTGATATTATTTAGCATGATTGAGATATCAGTTTGTTGAATGTGGATATTGTTTGGGGGGTTCTGAGTTCTGCTCATTTGATAAAGTAGTTTGTCAATCGGGGATATTATCTAGCATGTCTGGGATACCATTTTGTCGAATGTGGATATTGTTTTGGGGGTTCTGAGTTTTGCTCGTTAATATGGTAGTTTGTTGACATGAGATATTATTTAACATGTTTGGGATACCAGTTTGTTGAATGTCGATATTTAGCATGCCCATGATGCATGGATATTTGTATGCTATATGGATATTAGTCTGGACTGTGCATATGCCTAATGATTTCTTTCCATGTATTTCAGGAATTTTGCAAGATGACAAGATCCAAAAGCTGTTCGATTCCAACTCCTCTATGAGAAGGGGAGGTGGAGGCACATCACTGGCTAAACCTATTGATTTCTCATTTCTTATGTGGTTGTGCTTTTTCGGATTTGAGATTCTGGGATTGCCAAGTTGTAATGACATTGAATACTAGTTTTATCGCGGTTTGTCGATAAACAACTCTTTTTTATTATGGATTTGAGTTTGTTATTCTGGAATATTATTATGTTTGGTCTGGATATTAGTTATGAAATGTATGGATATTGATCTGCGTTGTCTGGATATTATGCTCTCATATTAGTTCTGTGAGGTCCAATGTTACTTAAGTGAGTCTGGATATAAAACAACCAAATTTTCGATCGTCCTAAACTAATATCCGCATAGTTTAATAAAGACATGGATACTGGGTTGGTGAAGGATGGATACTGAACACAGAATAATAGTTCATTTCAACGATGATACTAGTTTCACCGGTGTTATCGTCATCATCCGACTCTGAATTGGAAATGAAAAACAACTCAACAAGGACATCAAGGAACATCGCCACAAACCAATCCATGTAAAAGCCACAAACCTTGTCATACACTTCCACATAGACACCCTTCTAATATCCATTCATGCAAAACTAATATATAATAGTTGTACCCTAAACCGTGAACCCTAAACAAACAAAACTAAACCCTAAACTCTAAAATCCTAATCACTAAACTCCAAAAAAAAAAAATACTATTATTGTTTGCCCAAACCGAGAATATTCAAAGGTTCCACACAAATATCGAAACGCATGAACTAAAGGAATATTTCCTCAGGTTCAAATAAATAGCCACACAGCAGTCATATCAAATATACAAAAGCGAATCAGAAAACTCCAACTTCCTTTTTGGTCTCTCTTTCAATTGATTGGATTCTTTTTCGTGACCTAGTTTCAAATTTACTTATGTAGCAGTTTTTTATTTTTTGTGGAATGAAGTGTCAACATTCTTAAGCTGGTCGGCCTAGAAACGGTGCTTCGGTTGAGAATCTCTGCAGCGCTAACAGTTGTGACACTTTTACCCTCTCCACCGACGCTTTCGACGTCATCGCCAAACACGACGCCGGTCGTGTTCAGATCACTTACAAACGCAGACTGCGGGAGATGGCGAGGCGGTTGCGGACGAGGCCAAGGCTGGCGCTGGTGTGACCGACGCATGCGTAGTCGAACGCGATGCAAGTTGCTTCAGGGAGAGAGAACGAGAAAAGAAACAGCCGGACAGTCAGAGCAGCGGAGGATTATTCCAGTCGGACTCGGAGCGGGAGCAGATGCAGGGGTGTGTAGATCTGAGGGAGGAGGCGGCGGGGGCAAGAGATGCGACGAGTTGGACATGGGAGATGGGGTAGAAATTGATTGGCAATGGGATTAGCAATCCGCGGAAGGCGATATGATCACCGGCCATGAGCGAGGCGCATTCGCCCTTCCATCTCTTACCAAGAACTTCCGCAGCGATGGTGCCGGTCAATTGGATCTCACGCTATCGTGCGTCCTAGCAGTTCTCGCTGCTCAACGCCATCGTGCGTTTCCATCCTGGACTAGCCTCCAGCCATGATTTCTTTTACTAACTTTTTGTAGGGCTTTAAAGGAGCTTCAGCCTGGCGGTGAACGGGTCTTTCTGATGATGACAAATTTTTCGGCGGACGGCGAATCTACTGTGGTACATTTGCATTTGTTGGTGCAGTTACATCCCACGATAATGCTTTGGACGGTTACAATTCCACGGCAGTTGTCACCATTCTAAACGCGGGTTCTAATCGCATTCACACGCAGTAGCTCATATGACTTGTAGAACATCTTTAGTGGAGATCCGATGGCATTTGAATTTTGTTTTGTCCTTTAAGGGGTCGATTATGTGTTTTTTTTTTGCAGGTATCTTGCACATCAAATCTATATATCTAGTCTATTGGAACTCAGCTTATAGGAGACGCGGAGTTCGTACTCGCCAAATTGGTGCTTCACGAAGTTTGCCGCAAGAAGACTTCCTTTGCGTTTATTTGTTTTTTTTTTATATTTCTAGGCATACTAACAGGGCTTCCCATTGCGTGGCATACACGGCCCTTGCATCGGAAGCAACCCTTTTGGTTGACTACCGGTCTTTCATTTTAACCGCATTGTAACACCCTATCTATACGAACTATCTATGACAAAAAAAAAATCCACTCAACCCATAAAAATATCCCAATATTTCGGAGAAAAATCCTGGGATCAATAAAAGATATTACAACTAATAATGACAAATATCCACATCACACTAACTAATATCTAATAGTTGTACCCTAAACCCTAAACCCTAAACAAACAAACTAAACCCTAAACTCTAAAATCCTAATCACTAAACTCTAAAACATAAAAAAAATATTTTTTTCTCAAGCCGAGAATATTCAAAGGTTCCACACAAATATCCAAACATATGAACTGAATGAATATTTCTTCAGGTTCAAATAAATATCCCCACAACCCAGAAAAATATCCCAATATTTCAGAGAAAAATCTTGTGATCAATAAAAGATATTACAACTAAAAATGACAAATATCCACATCATACTAACTAATATCTAATAGTTGTACCTAAACCCGAACCCTAACCCCTAAACCCTGAAACCTAAACAAACTAAACCCTAAACTCTAAAACCCTAACCACTAAACTCTAAAAATTTAAACTATAATTGTTTGCCCAAGGCGAGAATATTCAAAGGTTCACACAAATATCCAAACACATGAACTAAATGAATATTTCTTCAGGTTCAAATAAATATCCACACAACCCAGAAACATATCCCAATATTTCATAGAAAAATCCTGTGATCAATAAAAGATATTACAACTAAGAATGACAAATATCCACAACACACTAACTAATATATAATAGTTGTACCCAAAACCCTGAACCCTAAACAAATAAAACTAAACCCTAAACTCTAATACCCTAATCACTAAACTCTCAAAACTAAATCATTAAACCCTAAACCTTAACACAAACCCTACAGAATATTATCCAAACGTCTCAGACCAATATCTAGTGACACCTAAATAATATTGTAAATATAACAGCCTAATATCCGCCACACACTAACAAATATCTAATAGTTGTACACTAATCCAAATAGTTACCAAAAGTGCTAGATGCTTAAATAAATATTGGACAACATCTTAATAGTTACCAAAAGTGCCCCATTAGAATATACAAACGTGCAAGAAAATTTCGGAAAACATGAACTAATATCACTTCAAACCAAAGCTAGACCCTAAACCCTCTTCACAACACAAACCCTAAACCATAAAAACTATTATTATTTAATGAGAAGTTACAAAAAGTGCCTCATTAGAATATCCAAACGTCTCAGTCAAATATACAAAAACATGAACTAATATCAATTCAAACCAAAACTAAACCCTCAAAACTAAACCATTAAGCCCTTAACTCTAAACCCTAAACCTTAACACAAACCCTACAGAACAATATCCAAACGTCTCAGACAAATATCTAGTGACACCTAAATAATATTGTAAATAAAACATACTAATATCCAAAACACACTGACTAACATCCAACACACACTAAATAATATCCACCATATACTGACTAATATCCACCACACACTGACTAATATATGATAGTTACCAAAAGTGCAAGATGTTTAAATAAATGTTGGAAAACATCTTAATAGTTACCAAAAGTGCCCTATTAGAATATCTAAAAGTCCAAGAAAATTTCCGAAAACATGAACTAATATCAATTCAAACCTAAGCTAAATCCTACACCCTTAACCCTAAACCATAACACAAACCCTAAACCATAAAACTATTATTATTTAATGGGCCTTCAGCCCATGGGCCCTCGGCGGGAAGCCCTAACTAAGGTCGCAAGTCTTATGTGTTAGGACTTCCTTGTGTGTTTAATTTGATGTAAGAAACAATATTCCAATCCTTCACAAATTGAAAACCCGAACCATAAACCTAAAACTTAAACTCTAAATTGGTGTAATCAGTTTCGGGTGGTTGGGTTATTTTGGGGTTTGGTAAACATTAGTTTAATGATGGATATTGGTTTGCGAAGGAAGAATACTAGTTTATTTCAACAATGATGCAAAGTAATATCAACACAACACAGAATAATATCGATTGAAAACAAATAAATATCCACATAAACATACACACTTAAATATCACATGGCCACGCAGGCCCACAATTTTCGTTCTCTTTCCACTCCTCTCCAAAATCCCGCCCAAACTAAAGTCGGGCCCACAAAGCCATTCCTCGGCTCGTCTTCTGCGCCGCACGGTGGCTGACTTCTACCCCGAAGCCCATATCCAGCTCACTTAAGTGAGCCACCACGAGCACGTCTCTCTCCTCCGTTGGATGAAAAATGGGCCGACGTGGCCGAAAATCTGGCCCTGTGAGTATCTGCTAACGAATATAGTAGTTAGCAGATTAACTTCTGCGTATTTCGCTGTGAACATGCATCTTTCCCAAATCTTCTCCTTCGCTGAACTCTTTTCACCATCATCTCTTTCCCTCAACGATCCATCTCCGACGATATCTCTTTCTCTCTTTGCGATTTTTTTACTCCGTTCTTTTTGAGCTAGGGATTGACAGGAGTCGACTAGTCAGGCCTTCTTCACAGTTGGTCAATCCTGGAATGTCGATGTTCCGAGCCCGGTCACCAGCGGTGGGTTCATACTGAAGGGACAGTTTGCGATATGTTGGTCGATCATTTTGCTCTTTCTTCTTACTCTCTCTCTCTCTTCTGTTCCCTATTTTCTCTGAACTTTTGAGAACAAAGGATAATTGGCAAGCAACCGCCGGAGTCCATGGTTATCCGGCTGCGATTCTCTGCGCTTTTACCTGCCGAGCGACCGGTGTGCAACTACCAGCTAAAGAAGAGGTGATCATTTGACCGATCGGTGAGCTCTCGATACCTTTAATTTTGTTTCGTTTAGTCTTTTTGTTACCTGATGTTGTCCTGGATATTTACCATTTTGATTAATCATAAGCCTGTAGGAATTGACGGGAGCTGTTGGCATGCTTGCTAGGTTTCTCACGATGAGTCAATATCGGATCGGCGGTGCTCCGCTTTCCTTACGTGAGATTTTTCTCTCCGTCTCACTTCTGCCACAACGATTTCTGGGGACCATCTTGATTCACGGTGAGTTTTGATTTTGATGGTTTTTCCTCTCTCTCTGTCTCTCATTCTATCTCTTCGATGGGGTTCGGCGACTCATTGTTTCTCTCTTTTTGTCTTGTCTATTGTATGTCTGCTTGGTTCCTGTCATCTCGGTTTGGGAGGTGAACGAGTCTCAAAGTGATCGGGTCGACGATATGGGAGCCTCAGAGAGGATTCACAGTATGCCCGGATTCACAGCTACGATGGAGTTGAGGAAAACGCAATTACATCAAGCATGCATTTGGAGGTGCCGTTGATTCAAGTTTCGTGCATCTTAGAGTTTTGCTGCTGAGCTGAGTGGTGACCCTTGATGGCGCAAGCTTGGCAAGAGCAACTTTTTGTATGCCAATAAGAGGGAAGAATTTTTTGTATATGTTTGATGGGGAAATAATTATTTAGTATTTGTGGTTTTAGGTTGTCTATCCACGGTGAAGAAGAAGAACCATAACATATGGCAACTAGATTTTCGACGGGGAGGATCAAAGTTCTGGTGAGAGTTTGAACTCAACTTTTGTGCCTTTTCGTTTTCATGACATCTAATTGGTGGTTGCTTTTCCTTCCTTTGCACTTACAGATTTGCTGGAAGGCTGGACTGGTTGAGTGTCCGCTGCAGCATTGTATTTCCATCGTAGAAAGTGATTGGATGGATCGACAGAGGTTAGTCACCCTCCTCTATTGCTCCATTCTGTCTCTTTTCTACCCCTCCCTGCCTCCTATTATCTATCCCAGTACTCTTTTGTCTTTTCTGGTTTAACTTTGTTTGCTCCTTTTGAGGACAGTCCTGCACTATGGCACAGGCTTGAGGACGAAACAACAGGACCTGGAAATCACGATGATTGAACAGCTGGGAAGGGCCGTTGATTTGAAGGTAGAAGGGTTGCAGTTTACACATTGATACTCTATGCTTTGTTAACTTCATGGTGTATGGAATGTTTCTGGTGATTTTCGTGTTGTTAGTCGCTTCTTGATGGTTTTTTGTGCTTTGGTATGGAATATCAGAGCATCAATTTCATTTCTAAAGTTTGATGATTGGATTCAATGTTTGGAGCCTAAACCCCAGAACTTCGTTGGAGACTTATTGGAATTTCAGCAAGATCAAGTGCCAGATTTTGGGATATTTGGAAAGGATTCGGACAAATTCAGATTGTAGGTTTGTTTTTAGTTCCTAGAAGTAGCAATCACTATGTTATGTAGTGATGGATTTTGTTTACATGTTATTTTTTCTTTGCATTTCTCCTCTACTGTTTAATGTGTTTCTCTGACTACATGTATTCACATTCACATATCTGAATAACTAGGAGTAGGGAGACACCAAAATGCTAAGAGACCCCATAGTATGAAAAGACAATCTGGCAGGAGGAGATCCCTTAAATAAAACAATATGAGGATGCTAACTTGAGGTTATTGATGTTGTTCAGAGTGCAAGGACATAGACACAGTAGCATATCATACTCAACTGTAGATTTCAGTTGTTTGATCAAAATTCAAAAGTTTTTTTGATGTTTCTCATGTTTAGGGTTTATTTATTCAAATTTGGCAATTGGAAACATATAATGGGCCCCCAATGGTCAAGTGAATTGTCGTAGCGTTAGTGTGTATGTAAATCACAGTTATTTGCTTGGAAGAAACTGTGGAAACTTAAAGTACCAGGCAAGTTGAAATTTTTTGTGTGGAAAGCTGCACATAATATTTTACCAGTTGGGGATAGAGTTAGAAAGAAGATGAGGAATGTTGGGGATGAATGTCCAAATTGTGGTATGAAGGAAACACTGAAATATTGCTTGGTTGAGTGTAGCTGGGTGGCTCGGGTATGGAGTAAGACCCCATTAGCAGATCTTTTCTACAAAGCTGGTGACCTCACTTGTAGGAGTTGGCTGAATAGAGTTCTAAGGTAAGCTGTAGAAAATGACTTGGAGAGGTTTTCTCCCCTTTTATGGTTCTTTTGAAAGGAGAGGAACAATTTTCTCTTCAATAACAACATTCTGCAGGAGTGGGAGGTTTTCTCAAAGGCTGATAATTACACCCACGACTTCCAGGGCCGGCCCACAATATTCGGAGGCCCTGTTTGAAAATAAAAAATGTGGCCTCAAATTTCCCCCGAAAAATGTTCTCCTTTTTTTTACGCTTACAATTACCTAATTCAAATTTTTTAGTTTACCTGATTAAAATTTTATAAATAAAAATATACCCATATGTCCAAACCAATACTGCTGCGAGCGGCTCTCTTTGCTTGGTTGGCTGAGTATTTAACTAAAAAACGTAATGGAGGGGTATTAGGGAATTGAGAAGTTGATCGGTAGGGAAAGATATTAGGGATGAGCATTGATTATTGATTGGTGGAGAGACGTTGGATTTTATGTTGGAAAGTTGAGAAATGTGGGAAACGTATTATCATTTTTATTTTTGACAATGAGGGAAAATGTTATCATTAATGAGTGTTTTTTTATTTATGAATAGTTCTGCTAGTTGGCGGTAATGGGCTTTAGGATATATTTTTCAGCTTTTGAGGATTGACAATAATGGGCTTGGGGAAGAATCAGCCCAAACAAAAACATTAACATAGGCCTAATGGGCAAGCAGGGAAGGAGGCAGCGAATAGGCCTAAACTATGAGGCCCTAGATTTTAGAGGCTCTGTGCTGTGGGTCTGATTAGCACAGGGCCTGGGCCGGGCCTGACGACTTCTTGGAGGTGCAGGGGAAGAGCAGGGTGGTGAGCAGAAGCATTGATAGAAGATATTGCAGGTGGGAGAAGCCTCCAATGGGAGTATACAAGTTAAATATTGATGTTGGGTTGAATAGTAGAGGGGAGGCTGCTATGGGCTGTGTAGTGAGAGATTGGGATGGACGAGTGATGTTTTAGGCAAACAAGTGTGAGAAGATCAAATAACCGACTATAGTGGCATAGGGAAAGGCTATTCTCTTTGGTTTGCAAAAGATGCTGCAGAAGGGATTAGGCCCTGTGATCGTGGAGATAGATTGTAAAAAGTTGGTGGAGCTGCTAAAGGGAGAAGTGGAATGCAGGACTGAAATAAGCAGTGTGTGTAGGGCCATTAAAGAAATGGGGATGATTAAATGTGTTTGGTTGGAAATTTGTGTTTAAGGAAGCAAACGTTGTTGCTCATTTAATGACTCACATAACCCCACCTGAGAGTGGAGAGTATGTATGGAATGATTGTGACTCTGCTGTTGTAGCTTATGTAGTGGCCTGTGAGACCCGTGGTTAATTTTATGAAATTCAGCAGGTTGTTTCTAAAAAAAATCACAGTTATTTGGATGCATTAGTGGTGCTGAACTTCAGTATTTGTAAACCATAGTTCAATTTTCAATTTTTCGTGTTATAACTTCATGGTTTATTTGTTATTTGCTCTGCAGGTAAGTGTAGATGGGTTGTTCCATTCTAATACTGTATAGGTTGTCACAAAATCTCAGAGGAAATTGCAATGCCTACCGATTCTGTGAATGGCAAGCTTCTCATTGAGGATTAACATGATGGTCTTCCATGTAGCTTTCGCTTACCATTCTCATTCTTTAGGTTTTGTAGATAGCTTTTCAAATCTTTTTTTATTACTCAAACATGCAAGCCAGGTTCTTGCAGTATTTTGATTAATGAATTACCGAATAGTGCTGTGGGATTTTGTTTTGTAATCCCTGTGATTAATGAAATACCAGTCATAGAAGCTTCAAACGTTTGTCTTTCTTGGTTGAACAAGACAATTTTCCTTGGTTGGATGTAAAGGGGACTATAGTGAAGTCGTTTTTTACTAGCTACGTATTGAAATTTATAAACTTCTTCCGATTCTTTTTCAGTGTGACTCCAGGACTTCAGTCTGTATCTGTAGTTTATATGGACATTATAGTGAGGGGAATAAAAAAAAACTAAATTCTCACATTCTATTTCTATAATTGAACTCTATTATTTTGCTTATTAAATAATTATCAGGAAATTGAACACTTCTATTTTGTTTGTCTTTTGCCAGTAGTACTGAAATGTTAAGTTTTTCGTATGCTGCCATTGCTTTTTAAGTAACCTTGGTATATTATAAAAAAGTATATTAAGATTATATTTATACTAAAAATCTGTGGGTTTTAAAAATTCATTGTTTGAAAATAAAATAGAAGAATGTTTAGGTTTTAAAAATTTGCTGGTTGGAAAATCTTGGATTACACATAAAGTGAACTACGGATACTAAATGTTACCCAGCATACACCATTTTTTATGTATTAAAAATTCATCATGCATTCATAATACTTGCATTGTGTATTCACATCAACTAAAAAATTGTTATATTAAGTAGCATATACATGTACTCAGAATATAATGGTATTTGACGCCTTCTTGCGCGGAGCGCGGGCGGATAACTAGTGTCGATATATAACTATTGTACAGATCAACTCAACTCGAGCAATGTCAGAGTTAACAACATGAGAAGAGGAGAATGATACTTATATTTTAAACATATTATTCTACACTTCAATTGGATTCCGACAAAGAAGCCAACAAATTATCCAAGAAATCACTCCCAATCAGCTCCTCAAGACCTTCAATCTCAAACCCGCCATCGCCATCCCCAAACTCCCCTTCCACCTCGTTAGCCACTCTCTTCAGCGCAGGCGGCCCGATCCCCGTCGATTCCCATTCCCTCGCAACCCTCTTCCTCCCCCGCCGCCGCCGCAAATCTCCCCCTTCAGAATCACTACCGTTCGTCCGGCAGCAATCACCTAAAGAAACCTCTTTTCCGGGGAAATTAAGACGCGCCTTGGCTCCCCTGATCCTCAGAGCCGCCCTGTCGTAAGCCCGAGCCGCTTCCTCCGCCGTCTCGAACGTTCCCAGCCATACCCTAGCGCCGCCGTTCTCCGCCGTCGAGTCCCTTATCTCCGCCGCGTACTTCCCCCATGGCCGCCTCCTCACTCCCCTGTAACGCCTGCACGACGTCGTTTTAGTCGATTTGCCGGCTTGGTGATCGTCGAAGGTTCCAGAGGTAATGTTGCTCGAAGAGGGCAATTGGGTATTTTCGGATGGAGGAATGAGGAATTGGGTTCGAAGGATTTCGTCCCAGGCCTCTTCCCCCATTGATATCCATCTCCCCAAGCTCGGCAGCCTTTCCAGCCCATTGTTATTGTTTCCCATTGTTGGTCCTCTGTTTACCATGTTTTCATCTGCGGCGGTAGAGGAGAACTGCGATTCGTAGTCTCCAGATTGTTTCGTTCCTCCATTGATGAAGCTTGCCCACACATTCTCCAGCATTTCCATGATGTAGTTTGATTATTATTGATCCAATCAAGGTTTAAGAGAGAATTATGAGATTACATGGGCTGTAGGTGTATATATATGAAAGGTTTGGCGTTTAGTTGTGGGATTATTATAATTATTGACAGCTAATCCATGGATTGCTTGTCCATGGATATATACTCCATTCATTGGAAATGCCCACTCGGAAACTTGGGGTTTAGTGATAATCCTGCTGATAATCATGCTGAAAGTTAGTTACCCGCCAGAGTTTTTGAGTGTTTTAGAAGGGTTGACTTGTGTGTTATAAGCTTTGTACGTTTGACTTTTTGGATGTTCTTGATCATCATGATTTAAGGGAGGGTAGATGCTCTGAATTGCTTTGTCCTGACATACTTAACATGGAAAGTGAAACAAACTAGGTTTAACACATGAAGGATTCAGAAATCGAATAGAAGGTTATACCGGAAAAGTCAGTAATAGGATAATTTGTAATAAAATTTTGATTCAGCTGTTTCATACCGCTAAAATCACATATTGATTTTGAGGTAAGGTACCTGGTATTCCCAATCCGGTTGTAGAGTACGCTTTCTATAGCATTGGAAATTTGGGTATCGAGGAGGTCATGTAGGTCTTTACCAATCTGCTAATTCAAGTATATATAATTTTGAAGAAGAAAAAAGCTTTAAAATGACGGTCAATACTATTTTATACTAATTCAAATAAGTTGGTAAACAAGTAAAAATTGAAATTATCATCCTATTCAATAAAATTGAAGAAGAAGAAAAATCTTTAACATGACTAGGTCAACACTATTTGATACCAACCTAAAAAAGTTGGCACGTAGAAATTGAAACTGCCATCCTATACAATAAAATTGTAACAACGAGTGGTGCGGTGAGTTATTGTGGCTGGCGAACCACAACTTTTTGCCAAAAGGAATATTCATCACCGATTACGAGTCATAACGAGTTGGATCAATAAATATTTGCGAGTCATGACGAATCATATCATTATAAATTAACACTAAAAAATTTCAAAAACTCCTTCGCTTGACTGAGGTCGCAATGAGCATAATCAAACGCAGGACGAGTAATATTGAGTAGCGGATCGGGTTTGATAGGTCGATTTCCGATAAGTTAACCGGTTGGATTGTGAAAATTGCAATTCATTTGAGGAGACCTTGAAAGTTGCCTTGTAGAAAAGATTGTGTAGCAATGAGAAAAGGCATGTGAAAGGGATCTAGGTGAAATACCCACAACAAGATAATAAAATAAACCATTAATGGAGGCTTTGGATAAAACCGAGGGTGCACGGTTGAGGATCTTTGTTCTTTCTCCATTCGTGGGGCTGGGGCGAGCAGCTGAGTAGAAAGCAGGGCAAACCTGCGAAACAGGGGACCTTTCCAGCACAGAAAGCCATTGATTGTTGCTTAAGAAACAAAATGTTGATTAATTAAGGTTTTAAGAGTATAAATTGCTTCATGGGAAGTAGAATTGAATTTCAAAAGGTGGGGGGTTTGTACACTTGTGGTAAAAGCTATTAACAACTTAATTGGGGAATTTCCTGGTTTTGATTGATGCTTTGATTCAATGCATATGCATACGATAGGATTAGATCTTTGTCTATTGCGCCAAGCAACGGCAATTAGCCGCGTCCCCAAATGTTATCCCAAAGCATATTGGTGGTATTTTGGTCTTTTGAGTTTTCAGTCGTAATATACTTTGATACTCATTAATTCTTATGATTAAGCGTAGGGGTGGGCATGGACATGGTTCGCATAATCGAATCGATATTCGGATTGAATTGAATAGAATTGGATTGATTCGGTTTTGATCCTATAATATTTTAAACATGAAGAAAAAAAATGGGCTGAAATTGAATCTGGATCGGTCCGAATCGAACTAAATGAACCAAACACGCTTTTGGTCTGGTTCTAGTCCTTATTTTCCTTTTGTATTTTTGGTTTGATTATTATATCTCAATTCAATCCGATTCTGGATGAAATCGACCTGATGCCCACCCCTAATTAAGTGTAGTTATTATGTATCTAAATTTTCGATGTTTTATAGCATTAGCAATCTAAATTTATAAATCTAATGTTGTGGTATAAATTTAGTTTGAATCTATATCTTTTCGCACAAATTTCTTTATGGTACAAACTGGACATGCAGTTTTAAGCGTAGCAATAATCCACCTATTGTTTGCTGGAACACTTTTTTCCTTGTGTTTTCCTGTTGTGGTAACAAAAAAAAAGTAATGATTATTTATTAGCCAAACATTTTTGGATTCTTTTTTACTAGTCAAACCGATCGTAATACTAAGAATTAGCCAAATGTTAACTTTTCGTTATCAATTTTGTTAGTAATATTGACTTGACAACATGATACTGACTTGGAAGAGACACTTGAAGGTTAACATTTCAAAATTTTAGTATTTTAACTAAGAAAATAGTCACAGAATTATTAATGATAACGTAAAAATGACTAATATCTTGACGCAACACAAAAAAGTTGACTAATTAGTAGAATTTTAATAGATTTGGATAATATAAAAGAATCTAAACAAAATTCGGATAAGAAATAGACATTAAAAAAAAAAAACAGGATAAGGAATGAATTTTGAGTTTTGATTATCAGTTGGCTCCATGATCCATCAGCTACACAATGGCCCGGCCCACAAGAGAGATGTTCGACTGTCATTAGTTTTAGGGCCCTAGAAGGCCCAACAAACTTCAGGACCAAGCATGCAGGACAAAAAGCATTCAATGTAGGAATGGCAAGGCAGGTTGCTTAAAAAAAAAACTTTTTGAATTGCAGAATCAAGGAGAGCAGTTTCCCCGGGAACAATCAACAATGGAAGTCGCCGTCGGCAAAAGAAAGGGCGGCAATAGAATCGTCGAAGAAAACATCCTAGCTATCTTGGACGCCGACGACCGAAAGGATACCCGAGAGAACAACGATAACAGTACGACCATCTCACCTCCTTGTTTCTCTTTTCTCTCTGTTTGTTTCCCCCCTTTTCCCGTTTTGCTATTTTGCTTCTGCTTCACTATTTTCTCCGCTAGAGGTTCACTTCGACGCCTGGTTTCTGTAATTCAGGGAGTTCTTTTCTCGAAGCTGTTCGCTCTGCTTGTCTGGCTCCAGTCAATGGAAGCCCTCCAACCATGTAAGCAAAACTTGCCCTTCGTAGTTGTTGGAAAACCAAAGCTCAGATGGAACTCCGTTCGGAATTGAATGTTTAGGGTTTCACTGTATCGATTGTGTAATTGGTTTGTGAAGGAAAATGTGCGAGGCGGTGTTCAAAATTCTGAGAGCTGGGAAACACCTAGATTTGATTATGGGAAGTTTTTGGCTATTGAGAGAGCTTGAGAAGGTATAGTATGTGTGATTTTGCCTCTTTAGCTCTTTTAGATGTTTGTAATCATATGAAAGTCTGTCTAACTTGTTCCTTTTTTGGCAATGGGGGTAGCGTTTTCCTAGGATGACTGTGTCGGATGCAAGCGAATCGAAGGAACCTCAGCTCGTGATGTCTGAAGAGGTTTGAGTTCCTTTCTTGTGCTACTTCTGGCTGTTCGATTCTATATACAGTGATGAATTGATGATAATGAACTTCACTGCGTATTTGTTAGGCTTGGTGTCCATTCGTTCTCAATTTGGATTCCACCCACCAAAGTAAGGAAGCAGTAAACAAAAGCAACGACAGACCCCTTGATTCCCTGGTAAGTGATGGTTGTCATGATAAAAATGGAATATCTTTCAGATTTCATTCTGGCTTAGTGTTGGTTTGGTTGTTTCACTTTTAGGGTTTTCATCTTTTAATACAAGAACTGGTTGAGTTCGCCAATAAGGTCCAGTCACCAGAGACAAAGGTTCGTTTTTCAACTTGTATTTCTCTTCGGTGAATACGATGAACAAAACTGCTAAATCCAGTATGTCCTTTGATATTGTGCAGTCGCTTAGCAACTTGCTGCTGTTTCAATACCTTGTGGATGTTCTTGAAGGAGATTTTATGATGCGAAATAAGTTGTTTGAAGGTTAGATCACCACTTGTTGTTCTTCTGTTTCACTTTCTGTGAATTTGGATACCCTGACTAATTGTCTGGTACTATATTTCAGAGACATTGAACTGGATTCATTTGAGAGAGTCATTGCTAAATCTCCTTTTGGTATGCAACTGGGAATCTTTTGATAGATGTTACTATGAGAAGTAAAAACAGTTTTTGTTCATAAGAGTGTTGGCTCTGCAGAATTCAAGGAAGATACAGTACAAAAACTTCATAAGGCATTGCTTGATTCTCTTATGTGGACTGTCTCATCCTTCTGCTGAATCGAGGGTTGACGTTGACATGATTGACAATGTATTAGAATCGGATAGCCATGGTGCCGTAGGTATTGCATCGGCAGAAGTAAGACATAATACTTGCACTGCACTACAGAAATTTCTTGTGGTGGTAAAGCAATAAATTCTACTTGTCACCTATTTTTTTTAATGAATTCCTTCACTTGTGACTATGATGGTGATAACTGCTTTCTCCTCCAAGATTATGGAGCTTGATGTATCAAGGAAGAAAGCAGATGCACAAGGTTCTACCACTAGAGCTGATGGTGCGAGGTATCTTTTGACGTTCGCGTATGTTTGCATTAGAGGGCTTTAGCAATTATAATGGTTAATTGTGTTGATTGAATGCAGGACACCTTTACTTGAGCTAGTTCTGGATGAGATAATCTATGACAGTGACATGCTATCCCCCTTTCTTCAGGTAATCCCTGGCACATGTTTTCTATCATGTACTTGTCTTCAGAATAGGATCCTTTCTGTTTCCTACCTTGTGCTTTCTTTGAGTCGGTATCAATGGCTTTTCTTACCTAATAACTTGCAGGGATTTGATGAACCGAAATGGAAGACTGAATTGATCTTGCAATACTTTATGAAATATGCTGCTAAGGTCAGTGAGATTTTTTTAGTGAATCCTTCCCCTTCGAGTGTCCTCATATTCTGAACTAGATGCTTGTGCTTTTATATAGCCTACAGTTCGCACTCGGAGGTCAAATGCTCCTCCAGAGGATATCACCATCAGTGGAACCTTAAAAGGCTTTTCGAACATTACCACCTCTAAAAGCATCGCGAAAAAGATCGGCTCAGATATCGTTCAAGTTCTCATAGCCCATGCTTTTCAGGTGACTGATTCCAGAATGGTGTCTTGGTATACTCACAAGCTAAATGAACCAAATGTGTCCCAGTGATCAAGAAGTGTCATAAACTTTTCAATATTTGTGCAATAGTAGCAGTGTTGTGTCAGTATCCTCGTTCTAGTTTGTCAACATTAGAATTAACTGGTGTTTTCATTCGACTTCTCCTACCTTCTGTAGGCGCATTTGTCCCTTTGCTCTTCCAAACAAGATGGTGATGGGACCGCCTCTCCTGCTGAAATGTGCGAGGATGTAATCACAGCGTTCACCAACTTGAAAACTGCAAATCAGTAAGACTCACACTTGCTTCTATTTTGGATCTTCGTCTCCATATCTCAAAATATTGACTCGACACTGATCTTAAATGCGATGTTTCAGGCAGCTTGAGATTCTACCAATTGGTAAAGAAGCACTGTTTACCGCAGCAATGATCCTGTCAACGAAGTCGTAGAATTCACTCTTTTGCTAGTGCTAGTAGTTCTGTTTACTCTGGCGTTGCCTCAGAGTCTCTTCGCCTACGATGTTTACATTGCTTCTTTTGATTCAAACCCAATTAGCAAGACTTGGAACCCTGTATGTAATTAGCAGTTTGCAGCCTTTGTATAATAACAAATCATTACAGTCTGCAGTTTAAGTTAAGGACCACCCAAGTAAATAAGGCGTCCACTCCCATGTTATAATTAGTTATACGACTAGTTTAGTTATACTGACTAGTTCTGGTAAAAGTGATATTTCACTTAAAAAGTAATATAATTTATTTATATAACATACAGCCTGTTTGGATTGACAAAAAAGTAAGGAATTGGAATTCCATTTCCAATTCCATTTCCATATATTATGTTTGGAATAATAAAAAGGTTGAGAATTGAATTCCAATGGGTCTAAAATATGGGAATTACAATTCCTATCAAAAGTGATAGGAATTGAGAGAATGAAGATGGAATTAGTGGGACCCATCAATACTTTTAATTATTTTGTTGACCCACTATCATTTTACTCTCTTTCTCTCTCATTCATATTTCATTTCCCAAAATAAAACAAACATATTACATTATTCATTATGGTTAAAAGTGCAATTCATTTCCATAGTTGTAGGAATTATACCAAACACTAGAATTGGAAATGGAATTCTATAAAAATAAAAAATTGAATTCCATTTCCATTTCCATTTCTTCCGGAATTGTATCCAAACAGGCTGATAATAATTATCATAGAATCCAAACGATGTAAATTACAATGCACAAATTTCTTATATACATGTATATTATTATATGCATGCATTGATGACAATACATCTATTTAACTATCATCAAAACCAAACAACCCCTTAATTATTTCGTCATTGATAAGTTAAAGTTGGGCCGAAATAAGGAATACAATGCGCCACAATAGATCGTCGATCAGACTGTCTCCTGGTAACTGAGCCAACAAAGTGGGCACGTCGGCAGAGAAGTCGTACAATCGTCGGCTGCGTTCCACCATCCAATCCTGAATGCATCTATGATGGAAGATGTGGTTGCAGTCAGGGAGAACGAAGACCAAGTCCGCCTCTGCGAACTCGTCCAGGCAGACCGAGCACTGATCACCCGCATCCGAAATCTTGCTGGCCTCTCCTCATAGCTCGACTGCAGGAGCGTGGGCAGCTATACCTCTACCTCTAATGCATGTTTTTTCTTGAGGAATTGGCGAACGAGAGCGTAAAAACCCACCACGAGGCAACATATCGCGACGGCTCCCAGGATCGTCCGCATCGTGGTCTGTCCTGTTGGAATGCAACACCCTTACAACCTGTTTGGATGGATATAAAAGTCAGGAATTATAATTTCATTTCCAATTCTATTTCATTATTTTATGTTTGAAAAGGGAAAAAGGTGGGGCAATGAATTCCATTTGATCCAAATTATGGAAATTAGAATTTCTATCAAAAGTGATAGGAATTGACTTTATGGAGATGAAATTAGTGAAACCCATGCACATTTATTATTATTTTATCACTCCACTATGGTATTACCTCTTTCTCTCACTTATATCTCATTTCTCAAGGTAAAAAAATATACTAAAGTATTAATTAATTGTTAAAAGTACAATTCATTTCTATTTCTTGGAAAGGGTTATAGGTATAATATGCCCTTCTACTATGTCGTTGTATCAAACATGCCCCTGTACTACTTTTTACATCAAATATGCCAATGTACTTTGAAAAAATGATCAAACATTTTCTATAATTGGGTTAATATTTTCGTATGGCCTGAACTTTGACCAAAATAAACATCCTGACCAATCTTTCTGATCTATAACATCCTGGCCCGAACTATACACCAAAATAAATAATTTGGCCAGATCCGACTTTTGACCGTTAACTTGGACGGTCAAACGTGTTGACTGTTAGTCAACGCGCCATGTCACTGCAAAGTCAGCATAAAATATTTAAAATAATTCACAATTTCCAAACATTCCCTAATTTTAAATTATTATAAATTAAAAAATCATCTAATACCTTAGTTAAACCAAAAATAATAATAATAAATTAAATATTTATCAGATCTTCTGACTTGGCAGTGACGTGGCGCGTTGACCATTAGTCAACGCGTTTGACCGTCCAAGTTAACGGTCAAACATCGGGTTTGGCCAAATTGTTTATTTTTGTGTATAGTTCGGGTCAGGATGTTATAGGTCGAAAAGATTGGCTAGGATGTTTATTTTGGTCAAAGTTCAGGCCATACGAAAATATTAACCCTAATTTATTTTTGAAACTTCAAACATCATGTTAACAATTACACAAATAAACTACTGGAACGACTTTATAAAAAAAAACTACTAGAACGAAGAAAATGAGTTAAAAACAACAAGATGTTACCAAAATATTATATATGTATGAAAAAAATTAAATATGTTAAGAAAATAATGATGAATTTATAAAAATATACATATGTATGTGTATAATCGACACAGATTCGGGTTGAATAGTGAGAACTATGTCCATCTATCAGCCGCAATATTAGAATTCAAATTTTACCTACACATATTGAAAATATTTTGAATTCAAACTCTAGCCTACTCGATTAGTTTGAATCGGACAATTATCCAGGAATATATTATTTTGGCCAAATACCACTAGGAAACCCGCACTATTAACAATGTGTCTTTTGTGTCCTAAAGTGTCCGGTATGACATTTGTGTCATAAACTATTTTTCCGTTAGAGAAAACTAGCGTTGACCATTAGTTTTTAACAGGAAGTCTAGTCAGCGATGTTGTGGCATCTGACGAGGAATTTTATTATTTATTTTTCATTAAAAATGAATAAACTTACAGAAATTAAAAGAAGAAAAAAAATATCTTGGTCTCCTCTATCCTCACTCGACACCGCTTCTAAAACCATTCATCGCGCCGCGCCGCCGCCATTGTTGGCGCTTCATATTCACTATCCTCCTCCACCAATCCACCGTTCATACGTTGCATAAATCCTTGTCCCCTCCCACTAGTCCTCCACCGTCGAATAAATCCTTCACCCCTTAAACCAAGAGATCGATGACCCTTGCATTGCCATCAACAGAGGAAGTTACAGCGTTGAAATCTTCCTTTGTTCGTCAAGCCTCCGTCGTCCCGTTGCCCAGATTTCGAAGGCTGCATCTACAGAGCCGGAAGATAGGCGAGACTCGCCATGGGTGAGAGGAGAGGTCGAATCTGACTTTGGATTTGTTGTCGAAGATCTACCTAAGCATCGTGGCCCCTTGCCCATGCGTTGGATCTGAATTCCAGATTCGTCTCCTTCCGACGCCGACATCTGGTCCCTTGCCCATAGGTTGGATCGATTTTTCATCGTCAACAAGAGCAGATAAAGAGGGCAATCTCCTGGAACAAGATTCGATTCGTCGTCGCCAACGAGATTCGATTCTGGACTGGGGGTTGGATTGTGTGTTTTGGGATAAGAGGGGGAATCTCCTGGAACGAGAGCAGAAAAAGAGGGCAAGTATATCTGGAGACATGGGTTTAAGGACGAACCAGGCGGCGACTCCTCAACGAACTAGAAGATGGCCGACAAGAGCGTACCAGAGATGTTGAAGGGTCGGATTCGGCGGAGGACGGCGGAAGTGTTGGGGAAGAAGTTCAGCGGGGAAGAAGAAAAGTTGTTTTCTTATTTTTCTCTTATTTTTGTTTTTTTCTCTCTAAATAATCAGATGTGTCAGCTGACGTGGCCACCACATATGTGTCACGTAATCAAGGGTCAACATTTCACTGATAATCGTTAGGTCAACCATTATCTTTAATGGTCAACGAAATTGCCATGACATAAATGACACACAACTATCATATATCAGGATATAAATGTCATATCGGATATTTTAGGATACAAATAACACAAAGTAAATAGTTCGGATTTCCTATGGTATTAGGCTATTAGCCCTATTATTTTTACCATCTCTATTCCCTAGTTCCTACCCTCGCTTTGACGTTGGTCCCATTTGACCAAGGGCGCCTGAGCCTCTCATTATTACTTTCCTGTTGGGCCCAGCGGCATGGATAATTTCGTGTTGGGCCGAACACCCATGTCCTTGTGGTAAGTGATATGGCATTCCTTCATTGTGGGCCCAACAACCAGAAATAAGTAGTCAAATCACGGTAGTAGTTATTAGTTTTTATGGAAAATTATTAACTTTGGGTTAATTTTTATTTAAACTATTTTTAAATTTTTTTATATTATCCAAACCTATTAAAATTCTATTAATTATCCAAATCTTTCATAATATATCAAAATATTAGCCATTTTTACGTTATCGTTAATAATTTTGTAACTCTTTTCTTAATTAAAATATTAAAATTTTGGAATGTTGACCTTCATGAGTCTCTTCCAAGTCAGTATCATGTTACCAAGTCAATATTACTAACAAAGTTGCTAATTAGAAGTTAACATTTGGCTAATTCTTAGTATTTCGATAGGTTTGGATAATATTAAAGAATCTGAAAAATGTTTGGATAAAAATAGACATTTTTTAGGATATCTGAAAAGTGAAAAGTGAAAACATTAATTTCATTGCAATAACTATTAGTTTCATTGCCATATCCTCATTCCATATCATGGACACCCCATATTAAATTTAGATTCTGCATTTCTTGGAATTTCCTTGTATATTCAGTCAATAAAAGTTCACCAAAAATTTAGTTTGTTACTTATTTTTTCTTTTCCCAAAATGATAAATATAATATATATATATCAAGGGATTGAAGCTACACCAATATCTTTCATTAATAAGTTTTGAGACGCCAATCTTTCATTTGCATGCAAAGGGAATTCAAAGGTGTGTTTTCGTTGAATTTTAGTTGTTTCTTATATATTTATATATATATTTTTTTAATCTCATATAGTTCAATGTCGATTCTGAATATTTTCCTCGGCATATCAGTTTGTAGGTTGAATATATAATGCAAAATCAATAATCAGAATGTTCAATATCTCACTAATTCGAAATCAAACTAATTTTGAAGGCTTTGTGTTTTTTCCATTTCAATTTGAACTTCAAAATAATTTGCCCAAAATAATTATATTACTTATGTTCTTTTAGATAATATATATTTTAACATATTTTGGATCAGAACAATTTCATACCCATCTACATTATTCTCATGGATCATGCACCTTGTTCGTACAGAATAATACCGCGCGACAGTATAGAGGTTTTGTATAATTATGAAGGTGGTGTATAAGTTGTACCAACCGTAGTGTGCCATGTGATAACGTATTTATATGTGTCCAATTTTCCCTCCCTAAAAAATATATATGCTATCCTGTAAATTGTAGTTGGCTAATATATATGTGTATTAACTCTATACAAGATTAACTTAATAGTCTAAAATCATTAGACATGCAATGCCTTATGAAGGGGTACTTTTGTCTTTGTACAGGTGAAATCATGGCCATAAGAAATGCTTTAAAATTTTTTCTGTTGGGGTGGTTTATGGCATCGAGCCATTATGTAATAAGAAGCCACAGATTATCAACAGAAGAAGATTCAGAATTGGAAAGACAATTAAAGCTTCTAAAAAAGCCGGCCGTGACAACTATTCAGGTAAAAAATATATAATGATCTTTGCATAAATCTAAGGTATCTTGTAATTAAAATTCTCATCAAAATATTGAGAAAGCCTATTAAATATAATACGTACAATTTCATCTGCGATCTAGTCCAAAATTGTGTATAAAAGTATCATTATCAACGAGTAATACTACTACGTTTAGAGTGTTTGTATATAAAGTGTCATCCAGTTTTAATACCGTTAGTCAAATGACGAGGAGGTACTTATTGAGAACTTTCAAATGTAAATTTAATGCTTAATTTTATTTTAAGTTTGATATAAACTCTTTCAAACAGACGAAGTATGGCGATTTGTACGATTGTGTGGATTTCTATCAACAACCAGCCTTTGATCATCCTTTGTTAAAGGATCATAAGTATGAATTTAAGGTATGAAATGAACATATCAAAAGTAACCTAAATTGTTTGTAGATGATTCTTTTCAATTGTCCTGATATTCATGTCATATTAAGAATCTGTTGATTCAAGTTTACATAATCTTGTAAATAATTTGTTCATAATTACTTGTTAATTCATATGCAGATGAGATCTTATAATCACGAATTAAATAGAAGGACAAATACGGATACATATGATACCGATACATTTGACATATGGTCAAATGGGAAAGGATGTCCATCTAATACGGTTCCAATAAGAAGAATCACAAAACAAGACCTCATCAAAGCAAATAGGGCCGCTGAATTGAGATACAACATTTCGCTCGATTTAAATCCAGGTGTTGAAGTGAGTTAATTAGCCATGAACTCATTCTTTTTTATAAAATTCATAGGAAAATCTAAGTAACTCACAGAGAAGCAAAAAGTTTGAAACTCCCCTCCAAAGTGTAACCCCCCTCTTCGTACTTTTGTTCTTTGTTTGACAGGTCGCCATGCTCAGAACAACTCAGCAAAACAAGTATTATGGAGGTGGAATGGATGTAGCTGTGTACCATCCTGCAGTTCAAAGTACACAATATAGTTCTAGTCACGTGAAAGTCGAAAATGGTCCCGACAGTATTTCTGTTGGATGGACGGTAAGTATCCGCAACCTTAAACATTCATTGATGTTTTGGTAACATACATTGGCTAACATGACAGACAATCTTGAAAACGAAACTCAGAAATGTTTCAACGATTCAATGTGTTACCCTTTCTGATGTATAGGTCAATCCAAGTCTATATCCGGATAACGAAACTCGAATGTTCATATACACAACGGTAATCGTCTTTACTGTCTTGCACAGAACCAAGAAGATTTACAAGTTGTTCTAGGGCTGGGATAATTCACCATTTCACTGAAGTGCTGCTGATTTTCTTTCTCTTTGATTCAGACAAAGGACTCGTATTGTTACAACACCTACTGCCCTGGTTTCATAATCAGCACCACTGAAGTGCCTATAGATTTGCTTCTCAAACCCTATACTCAGATCGGAGGGCCATTGTATGAGAAGAAATTCTTTGTACGCAAGGTACAAAAAAATTCTATTTTTTATTTTCACAATTTTGGCACATTGATGCATTAAATCTCTTCTTGACAGGATGCTGCAAATGGAGACTGGTTCTTGGTGATCGGGAGAACGAACATAACTGTGGGATCCTGGCCGCAGAAGATATTCACAGCGCTGGCGGATTCTGCAAACTACGTAGAATGGGGAGGAGAAGTTTACAGTCCTCCAGGCACCGATCCTCCGCCAATGGGTGCTGGACAGAAGCTGCAGCAGAAGCTGTATAGTGATTGTTATGGCAGGCAAGTGAATCTCATCGACGAAAACCATGAGATCGATCACGATCCACCCTCGTGCGAAACTTATCAGAGCAGCAAAAGATACCAGGTGATAGATGAGGGATTTGATGCTGGGCCTGGAATTGGACGCCTTATTTTCTTTGGCGGTCCTTAGCTAGAAAACTAGAGACTGTAGTAATTTGACTTGTCTAGAAAATTGCAGAACAGAGATAAAAACTCTTGGGGAACCAAATGAATCTAATTTCTTGTTAAGATCCTTATCCTTACGAGGATCGATGTTAATGTGTCATGATACAAGAATTCAGACGGATATATATATCGAGCATGAACGATATCAATGCGGCATAACAGTACCGATGCTTACATGGCGAGGGAACCTGAACTTGGGATTCTGCTCCAAGAAAGCTGGAGGCCGCTGGTAGACAACTGATGCAGCTTTGATCAGAACCCCAGCAGTTAATCCCGTTATCACATACTTATTTCCCCCTGTTTCATAATCAAAGAAATGCACCAGATACTTCTCCCCCATCCACTCCCTCTCTTCTACCCTCCGATGTTCATCCTGAAGTAAGAAAAACCCAGGTTCTGAAACATTAAGCTCTTTAGGAAAAGCATCAATGGCAGTGAGTAAGTATAACTAAAGTTCAGGGGAGAAGTTAAGAGACCTTGATGAACATTTCCAAAGGTGCATCGAATACTGCATCGACTTCGGCTGGATTTGGTTCAGCGCTGAACGCTTCCTTGTATCTTAGAATCCCTACGACAGGAACTACTCGAAGGAGATGCTGCAGAAGCACAGAGAAATGCCAGCAAACAACTGATAAAGCTCCCTACTCAATGAATCATTGAACAGGTTGTGTTCATTTGAGCTTAACTAAAGTTAAAGCAAAGCAATTCTCCGTCTGTGTCTATGTCTATGTCAATTGTCAAAGCTAAGCAATTATCTCCCCGTCAGAGATGATAAGCCATCAGTTTTCTTCCCATTACCTTAGATAAGAATGGTTCCAGAACTGTAATAACATCAACCAGAGAAGGATCCAGCCCAATTTCCTCTTTAGCTTCCCTTGTTGCTGTGTCTGCATCATCCTTGTCACCCTCGTCAGCTTTCCCACCAGGAAATGAAACTTCACCTACAAGCAACACAAATGCATATCAAATCACCTAACATTAACTCACAAGCTATATGGAGTACCCACTTCACTTGGATTCTTTCTGATGTAACCATGAAAATCAGGAATTCTAAACAGTTCTTGACTGGGAAAACGGAATAGTAGAACAATTGGGCACAGGAGAGCTCAAGTTACAGCAAAGATCTGCATTTTAAGGGCTGAAACCACCAATGTCGAAAAAGCCAGACAAACCAATCAAGAAATCGAATTTCCCCCCTCTCTCCATCATGTGTCAGAGAGCACAAAGCGAGTAGACAACTTGAAGTTGAACTTACCAGAGTGAGTGGACAATCTCGAGGACCGCTTGGTCAAGATGACACGAAGCTCGCCGGAATCGCCTTCAAAGATGCAGACCAGAACCGCCGCTCTTTTGGGTCTGAACCTATCGGGTCGATTCGCAATCGGGGTAGCCGATTCTTGAAAACCCACTTGCGCAATCACCTCGCCGGCAGTTTCCTCCATGGCCTGCTCCTCGATTTCGTCGGGCGGTGTAGCTGGCGGCTCGTACAGGCGGAGCTGTTGGGCCAGAGCCAGCAGCCGGTTCGATCCGGAAGCGCCCATGGTCACCGGGAAATGGCGCCGCCGTTTTGGGAAGGATTGACGGCAGCTTTGTTCCAAAGAGCGAGATCATACAGTGGCTTAGTGCGAGGGATTGAATTCTCAATTCTCACCCTCGGAGTTCTGGCGCCTCCCTTTATAAAGCTTGAACTGGGAGGCTTCCACTGAAGAACAAAACCCTTTTCTGGGATTTATCGTTTGCTATTTGATTAGTAATTGCAGGCGGCTGATTCAAAGTTTTCCATTAAGCAAATATATAACCACTTTCATCCTAAGAACCAAAAAAATGTTCACTAGGTGAAGATTTACTAAGAATCAAAGTTGCAGTGAGCTCTGTAAAAATGAATGAACATTGGACCCTCCAACACAAAATGGTATCATCTATTTACAGTATATAAATACAAAGTGAGCTCTTGTTTTTCACATGGTGTATAGGAAGAAGAAGAAAAGAAGATAGAACCAAATAAACTCTCAAGGCTTTCTCAGTTATATACCGCGCATCCACAAGCAGAAGAATACCACACCACTCATAAACTCATAATCACAAAATTAAATGAAAGAGACCAGAACAAGAACAAGAACACACTAAGATGCCAGTACCAGCTGCTCCTTCTTAGCCTCTCCAATTCCACCTTTCCTGCTTCCATGGAGTGTTGTAGCTTGTTTTCCAGTAACCGGGTAAGTTAATCTCCTGGCTTTTATACCTCCATTGGACACTGGTGGTTTGGAGGCTGTTGTTGACATTTTCGCAGCAGGTGAAGTTGCAGTCTTACTAGCCGCCTTGTTAGCCTGCTTGTTGTTCTGAGCTTTCTTTGGTGTAATGGACTTCACAGGGACACGGCTCTCCCAAGGACGAGCAGCGATCCAGCGGTCAGTCCAGCTCCATCCCCAGTTGGACTTGCCAACTTCATAGCTACCAAGGCTCTGGCTACAGTTTGCCCTCCACTGCAAATTTCATAGGTCGGGTTTTTAACAAGTTAAGTAATGTAACTTTTCTCACAAACTTAAGAGGATCAGTTTCAATGCAATAAGGACATGCTGCCATAAGAGTTTTTTCATTTACCTGGTGAGAGAAGGCATATGCCATTGCTCTTTCCCTCTTCACTGCTGCTTCTTCCCTCTGATGTACTCTTGCAAGAATCTCCTCCATTGTATCACACCCACTGTTCCACTCCACCTGCCATCCATATCGAACATTAACTATTAAGAAACAAGAATTGTATTGTGGATTTCTGTGAAACGAATAAGGGGGGAAAACACTTGGATGCTTCTTACCCCCAGGCCAAGAAGTTTTGCCTCGAGTTTAATTTGATTCTCCAACTTCTTCTGCCTCGAACGACCTTCGGCGACCATATACAGGCGGCGAGTTCTAATCTGGGTCTGCAGGCTGCTCCACAGATGAAGGTGGTTCAATGTGGAAGTAGCTTGCTTCACAATGGACTGATGCTTGGTTCGGGTCTGTAATTTCACAGTCCCTCTTAGGCGGCGCAAGGCTTTCCTGGCCTGTATTGACAAGGAACAAAAACACGAAACAACTCTTATTAACTCAATGCACTCCAGCATGAGCAAGTTGGTTAATCAACGGCACCATCTAAAGATCATGAGCAAACATACTTTATATGCACGGAATGCAGTTTGAATGCGAGTAGCAGCCAATTCTTCATTCCCATGCCCATTTGCAAAAGTAGTCAAATCTTTGTTCTGCAGATTCTTCGATTTGAAGCCATTCGATTTCACAGACGGTGATGAAGAACCCTGAACAGAGAATCATTGCTTGTGTGTCATTTGGTTCGTTCTATCTTCCATGTAAGCAGGTGCAATGAATTCAAGTGTAGGCAAAATGAGATTTACCTTTAACTGCTTCAAATGGCCTTTCTTCCCCTTCTTCAAACTAATCACTGTCTTAATCCAATTCCCAGAACCCATTCCTGCTGTACGTTTGATGAGCCACCCAGCTCAACATAAACCTGGAAAAATAGATACCCTAGTCAGAATAACAGCATAATGAAATTCAGACATTCACCAATTCTTTTCTTTCTACTTTCCTTCTTCAACAGCAAATCCAACAGGGGCGATTTCAACAACAAACTATGAATCCCCCATCAAAATCAATGCAAAGATTGCAGCAACTACCAAAGCATTACAAGCGAGAAAAAGGAAAGAAATTTCATTTCATCGCGGGAAAGAACAGCAAAACGAGGCATGAGAAAGCACACATTACCAGGGGCTGCAACAGCGGTACACTCTTCTTCCAGATTTAGAGGGAAGGATGAAGAACAAGACTTCACCACTAATCCACTATAGTAGTTGCAGTAGAGGGGAAGGAAAGTCTCGGACTTTACAGGGAAAATCGACTTTTAAATCTCTCTTGAAGCGAAATGAAATCATTGAACAAATAGAAAAAGGGTGAGAAAGGTTGTTGGGTCTGGTTCAGGAGAAATGACAAATGACAAATTAGCATAACCAGCTCCCCTCCACCAATTTCTTTTTTTTTTTTTGTTTATTTCTTCCAAATCTTCGCACTATTCTCTTTTGTTTTCCTTTTTCTTGGAATAGTCCTTTTCTTGGAATAGTCCAAAACACGTTAAAATGGGAAAATTTTTATTTCTTAGCATAAATCGGATAGACATGAGAGGATGATAGGTTTTCTTTTATCTATTTTTTATCCTTCTCCCTTTACGGTATTGAAAAAATCAACAAAATATATTTAAGAACTTAAACAGTGACAGCACAACAACTAACTAACAATTATTGGTGATTAGTAGTTTCCTGCCTCCCCTATCTCATTTATCATTGCTTCATTATTATTGTTTTTTGCTTAATTTTTGTTGAATCGAATAAATGATTTTCATGGATTGAAATTGAATTCTAACTTATTGATTTGATACATTCTCTTAACTTATTTTCTCCCTCAATGAATGAGATTATGTTGCCGCAAAGCGTGTTTTCAGTTACGTGCACAAATATACAACATTTGAATAATTGAATGAAACTAGTTTTTTTTAAGAACGATTCTCATTATTTATTACTCGAGAAACATAAATAAACTCAATTTGTTTTGCACCCATTTTGAGAAATAACGAATTGTAGAAGATATTAAGAAGAAACACTATTTTTTACTAGGTAGTCCAAACCAACCACCTGCATAATTCCCTTCTGTCCTCATCTTCTTCAGTCTAATCATCCAAAATACACAACCACCAAAAGCAATTGCAGCTGATTTCCTTGGCACCTTCCTATTATCGCTAATTGGCGAGGAATCTCTAATCCAAAGGATAATGTAATTACGTATTATAATTCATTGATTATTTGAATATTGAGCTAGCTGCATTTGGGTGGTTGTTGGTTTAATGCTCTAGCGCGTATTAAGAAGTTGGTTCAAATCAAGGGTGCCATCGTTTTTAATTAGGCGGATAATCATGGTATTGGTTTACGTTGAGTGAGTTAATTTAAGTATAATTAATCTGTGGGCCGTCGGATTTCTTCTTTTCGATAAGTAACAGATAGCCCATTGGGCCCTGAGCCCTCGTAAGTAGCGTAAACAGGCAAAATGAGGACGTAAATGGTAAGCCCACTGGGCCCTGAGCCCTCGTAAGTAGCGTAAACAGCCAAAATGAAGACGTAAATGGTAAGCCCACTGGGGCCTGAGCCCGCGGAAGTAGCGTAAACAGGCACGGAAAAAAAACGTTAATGGTCCCGGCGGGGCTCGAACCCGCGACCTTCGGCTCATAAGACCAACGCTCTAACCAACTGAGCTACGGGACCATTTGTTGATATGTGGTTCTACAGAACTAAATCAATTTGTTTAAGAACAAGAGATGATTTAGGTTTTATTCGTGATTAGATTTGAGAATGAGTATGACACCTTGTTCGACCGGTGGGGCGTTTCGCTTGGGGAAGGAGCAACCTACAATAGTCGAAGAATTCTACAGGTGCTTGAAATTTGAAGAAAAACTTAGGTACAATCACATAAGATGTGGTAGTGTAAAGAATGCAAATTGAGAGAGTGAATAATGTCGGACATTCTTCAGGGTTTTTATCATCAGTATCAAATTAGTGTTCATATTAATTCTACAGAACACTCACTTCTTTTTTTGCTTAATTTTTTATTATTATATATTGATGAATAATTTATCAACATCCTTTGTTACTACCATTATCTTTAATTTATTAGAACATCTTCACACCTTCAGAACTACCCATTGTGTCACTTGTCTTTGCTATGGTCACCAACAAAACACCCTTTCAGACTTGCTTATGAATTATGATCATATCAAGCCATTTCTTGTATAGAAAAACTCTCCTATATAGGTTGGTGGAAACAAAGCAACGATAACAATTCCTCTCTTATTATTCTCAAACTTCTCTTATTCTCTACACGATCAGAGACTGTTATGACGATCCAAGGAACTATGAATTATCAGCGTATCATAGTGTTAACTTTTTCGATATAACTTCTTGTAGGAAATTAAACTGGGAAAATTGTCTCTATGAAGGAATGGGTTTGCACAGGCATGAACCACAGTCGCAAACCAGGTAGTATCCGTCGCCACACGCATTAGGGCCGGCATTCCAATAGCACGGTGTTTTGTAGTTGCAAATATAATCACAGGTCTCTGTTGGCTGAACGGAAGCATCATTGTTGCTGGAAGTTGTATGAGGTGATGATTGGCCAGCAGCAACGTCAGGCGTTCCTGATCTGTTCCCGCGCGCGCGTCAAACAAAAATAAACTCATATGAGACACACACACGCTTCCAAACGAAAAAAATCAGGTTAGAAAGGGATTTGAAGTCTGCACAGACATCATACACTAGTATGTGAGTAACAAATGTGATTACAAAAGACCTCTTTATTACACAAGGCTCATGTCAAGAACCAGTTGGTCACAATAACTCGAGTTGTTTGTGTAGTGGTTCGATTATGAATCATGTATACCACTTAGCTGCGGGGGATCAAGTTTCGTACCCGAGATCGATCTGTGGAGCAATCGTTCTGGTCGACTCGCTTGAAGGCAGAAGGCCTGCGTGCATCCATGATATGAAGGGAAGCAAGATTGCCAACTTAGTGATACTGGGAATGATCATCGCCATGGCTATATGTATTCGTTTCTTGAAGCTAAGTGTGTGTGGATGTTGTTGACCTCTGGATAATAGGTAGCTGAATGTATATATATATACAATATGATCAAGAGAGAGAGAGAGAGCTTATTAGGGCTCTTGTTTATTGAATAAAGACAGCTTTATGCTTTGCAGTTGCAGCCCTCGACATTGGCTATGAGCCTATGCATATCATATAATTGGAAGGGATCCAGCCAGCCAGCCGACCAGCAAGAAAAGCCCAAGGGATAACACACTGAAGGAGAGGATAGTTTATTATCAATGTGGTCCGGGATGTAACGGTACGTGTCCTTAGTGACTCGATCATGTAAAACAGGAATGATCCTCGCCATATCGCTATGGATTCTTGAAGCTAAGTTGGATTTGAGCACTGGTAGGTAGCTGCTTATATATACACACAATATGATCATGGAATCTCTTTATATATATCTCTCTTTTCATAATCGAATCGAAAGCTGAATTGGAAAAGTTAAGTGGTTTATGGTTCAGTAGTTGACCGTTACAAAATCGTTGATAGAACCGTTGATTCGGTGTAGGTGCTATATTGTAGTGGTACCACACCTTTGACTATCGTATCCGTGTGAGGATATAAATGACCAAAAAAAAAATGTAAGGGTACATGGGCTAGGGTGTGTGCAACGTAATTTGATGCTCTTTGGGTGAAAGCCCACTTCACAAATTTACCCTGATGGCCTGGCCAAAATCCGCCACCATCGATAGCACAGAATTCCAACCTCGTTTCTATCGAGCTGAATCTGATGCTTCCACAACCATGCGGCTGGAAGCCACTGTGAATGAGGAGGAAGGAGATATACAAAACGCAGAGTTCAATTTCATTTAGCGAATGGTGAAATTATCCTTTTGTGAAGCTCTCAGAGCATCTCCATTAGAATTGCATTTAGAATTGTATTATGACATGACATTCATTTGCAATTGCATTGATGTAGATGACAATTGCATCTTTGCAAGCTTGCATATCTAATGCAATTATGGATGCAAGCCACATCATCTTTTTTATTTTTAAATTATTCATTAATTTTATTATTTGAGTGTTTATATTTAAATAAATTAAATAAAAAAATTAGTTGCAATTGCAAGTTAATTGCATTGATGTGGTGCAATGCAAGTAAGATGAGTTGGATTGCAAAAAGATGAAATAACAATAAAAAAAAAACAAATGCAATCACCAATGGAGATGCTCTATAGGTCGGGAAATTCAAATCTCTGCAAATCTTACCCATGTTATGTTTTGCCTTTACATAGTTTGTAGATTCATTAATAATATCGGGAAATTCAAATTCTTGGAAATCCCATTCATATTTTGCTTTTTATATATTTTGTAGATTCATTAATAATGTACGGTTTGGATGAATTGGAATTCCTCTTCTTGATTAATTAAATCATTCGCGTTATTAGGATATGGGTGTACATGGGTTGGGTGGTCTGGGTTTAGATATTTTAATCATCCGACCCATGCACTACGTTTTGGCAAATATTAAACCCAAACCCACCAAAAAAATATAAACCCTACGGTTTGTTTCTAATTGAGTTGGGTCGGGTTGGCGATATTTTTAAGTAAAAACCCAACCCAAGACAAAATATGTAATTATTCTACACCATAAAATATTTTATAACTAATTAAAAATTCAAACGAATAAACCGAGTCGAAAGGTATCAAGATTCACAAATGTTGTTTGAATTTTAATAAAATTTGATTTAATTCAACTTATGTCTAGTTTTTTTTCACGACATTTGTTGAAATAGGCTAAAAAGGTTACAAATGAACGTATCCATAATATGTTATTCTATTAAAATTGTACACAAGAAAATGAATTACGTGAATCATAGCTATATTAAATTTATGTCTAAACTTTAAGCCGAAGAATGCATTAGATTAGGGAGACCTTAAGAGAAAAATATGGCG